GTCCCTAAACTACCTGTTGAGGGAAGAAAGGGATGAGTTCTAGAAGTGTCAAACCAGCTAGGTTCTGAAGAATCTAACACAAACCATGGCTGATAAACTCTGGTTTTGTGCAGGAAAAAAAGTAAAAAAAAAAAAAAAAATTGTCTTTATTACTTTTTTCTGTCTTAAATAGACCTTACCATACTTAGACTTGGAAAACAATTAGGAAACCAATATTAGAAAGACTTGGAAAACAATTTAGGAAACCAATATTAGAAAGACTCTTAAACTGAAACTAACTCTTATTGTAGGAATTCTAAACTGACAAATAACTCTTATAAGAAGACTCCTAAATTGACAAAATAACTTTTTTAATAAAAAACCTGAATTGGCACCTAAAAAGGGCTGTTTAAAAATAAAACCAAAGATAACATGGGGTACTTGGAGGTTAGATGGGCTGCAATTGATTATTTTGGAGCATCACAGGCTGATACTCTGCATCAGTTGACTAACCACATTTTCTTTCTTTGTCTGGTATTTGTTATCAACAGAAGTTTTACTGTTTTTTATTTTTTATATATATCTTGAATATCCCTGTGTTTGATGAAAGGGTATTCACCCTTTTTGTTATACAAATTTTCTTAAAAGCTGGAAGAATTAATGCAACTTGGTTGGGGCTCTTGTTTGATGAATATCCCTGTGTTTGAAGAAAGGGTACTCACCCTCTGTTATACAAATTTTCTTTCTTGAGTTTTACCTAAATTCAGTGCCCAAAGGTCCAGAAACCCAGAATTTGGTTGCTGGAGGTATCTAGAATGAAGAAAATCTGCAAAGACCAAACAATCCATGGAACCCAAGAGTAGGCCTCTGAATAGATCAACTGCTTGGATCTGCCCCCATCATCTTTATCCCCAGTTCCCACCACCCCTACTGCAGAGGATGAAACAAGGGTTTTGAACTTGAGTAGCTGAGAAAAATTGGAGGTTGGATTCTCTAGTATGCAGAGAGAATTTGTCTAAAATCTAAATGAGCTGAAATCATTCTTGCCGCCAACATCTTTGGAAGTTGAAAAGGATTTTAGTTTGAATTAAAGAGTGAAGACTGTGGTGTACCCTTTCTACAGTCCAGGCCTAATAAACCCAGAATCAGTTCCCTTCTCTTTGGGCTGGAATTATCCTGAATGAATGACATAAAGTTGAAACAGAACTCCCTTTTCCTTTATATTTGAACCAATAAGAATCTATATATTCTTTTAATTAGAATACAGTTTTGCATTCAGGGTACCTTTTTGTTAATATATAAATATAAATATAAGAAAATTTGGTGCTGATCTTCAGCAGGTATTAACTTTATATTCTCTTCAGGGCTTTGACTGCTGAAGAACAGCATCCCTCTTTTCCTTACAAGAAAATTTGGTGCAGCCACATCCCCTCAAGAATTTGCTTCTTTGTATGGGAAACCTGTCTCCAGAAAGTTAATACCTGTGATCTCCTTCAGAAAATGCTTTTGGGAAGACGCTCCATTTCTCCTCATGTTTGTATTTTATGTCTCAGTGAGGGTGAATTTGCAGATCACATCCTTCTTCATTGCAACTTCACTGAAAGGATATGGTCCCATTTCTTGAATATGGCAGGGTACAGCTGGGCTTTTCCAAAACACATTATGGACAACTTGAACCAATGGCAAGGAATAGGGCTTAGCAAAAGGGGTAAAGTCTTTTGGCAATCAGTGCCTCATGCAGTAATGTGGGGCATTTGGGATGAAAGAAACTCCCGTATCTTTGACAATAAAAGAAGAACCTTGGAGGAGTTAATCTCAGATATTACCTATCTTTGCATCCTTTGGTYGGTGAATTCAGATCTATTTAAAGGACTTTCAGTCAATGATATTATCAGAAATATTCACCCCTTTCTGTTTCTGCCTCATCCTCAGCAAACTCCCTTGAGGCATCCTGTTTCCATCGGTGAAGGTGTGAAAACCCTTAATTTTGACAGTTGTGCCTTAGGCAATCCAGGCTTTGCAGGTATTGGTGGTACAGAAAGGGACAAAAGGGGCAATATCTGCTGGACTTTTAGTGGCCCAATCGGTTGGGTCGACTCCACAAAGGCTGCAGTGATGGCTGCTCTCACCGGAATCAGGATAATTAAGAATTTGGGTATTCAGAATTTGATCATTGCAGGTGATTCAGCAAATACAATAAAATGGTTAAGAGACAAAAAAAGGGGCCCTTGGAGACTTTATCACTATCTGACTGAAGCTTGGGATTCTTTGGATGGATTGAATGTTAACTTAGTTTGGATTCCTAGGGAATACAATCATACTACAGATGGCCTAGCTAAATTTGGTGTGTACTTGGAGCATCTATATAGCAACAAGCTTCCTCCTTTGTAACTTGCAGGGGTTCCCCCCCTGTTTTGTATATCTCCTCTTGTCCCCCCCCCCTTTTATTCTCAATAAATCTTGGTTAAATTTTCTCAAAAAAATATAAATATAATATCCCATCTAAATCTAATTCTTTTTTCCCCTAAAAGTGAAAAGAAAAGAAAAGTTCATCCAGGAATATGCCCATCAGATGATGTATATCGCAGTCATCCAATAATGTGTATATAGAATTAATTTTCTAATCATCTGATCTTACCCGTTTTAGGCATTCATAAGATGGGATTGTTTGTGTCATTTGATTGGATCACATTTGGTCTGTGAGATCAATTGGTCCACACCATCAAATGATGGTCGTCGTGGGCCAATTACATAGTAGCACGTGACAGGCAAGGGGGGAAGGAAAGATACGTAAGGGACCCACAGTAATAAGATCTTGTGGGAATTTCTCTTCTGATGTAAAGAAGAAGTTAATGTGTTTGGTGCCATGTGTTGGTACTCAACTCAATCCACAAAATGTCAGCTGCATGGTATCTCTAGTCTATCCATGTCAATGTCAATGCCCCATTCTCCATACCTATAATCCACCTTATATTGGCCTTTTCCTCAAGTCATGTACAAATGTTATCCTTTTCAAATTCCCAAATTTATTACTCTTAAGAACTGCCCATAGAAAAAGGCTTGTTTCTTGGATACAATACTGCCAATACTGTGCCAATATGTTGATTTTCTATGTTTTAATATTTAGCTTATACCTTTTTATGAAGGTTATAGATAGCCATCAATGAAAGATGGTTGCTGGTTGCTTGGAACCTAGGGAGTTACTCTAGAATTCATGGTTTCTTTGTAAAAAAGTTCCACCACTAGGCAACAAGGTGGTGTGATTTGGCCATCTGTTTATATAATTTAATAATGGTTTGAAACCCATATATAATTTAATAATGGAGTTGAGTTGAATTATATATATCATTCTGCTATAGGACCAATCACTCCCTAAGTGGCAATGTAGATCTGGCCACCTGGGCTTCCTAGCTCTTGATGAATGATATCATGATATTGGGATATTGTTAAGCCAGTTCTTAAGGGTAGGGTAGGAGCAAATATCTATTCTCAGCCTTAATGCTGATCAAGTTTGATTTAACAGACAATCAGAGGGAAAGTTTTGTTTCTCTTTTTACCCCAGTAGTAATATCCTCGGCAATTCACTATAAATTTGGCTATCTTCACCCCATTCAATAGGCTGGAATATACTTCTTGAAGCTAAACAACCTGTTGCTTGGTTCCCTTTTTCCTGGAACTGTACAATGTAAAGCTACGCAGCCATCTTCTAGGAGCTAATTAACCAATCTGCTGGAAGGGTTTATATATATATATATATATATATATATATATAATATATAATATATATAGAAGATATCAAGTTTCTTGAACATGGCAATTACATAATCTTTTATTAATCAATAATTGAGGCTTTGGGACATTAGGTATTTTGGTTGGTATTCTGTTTATTTAATTCTAATAAGTTGAAGATGGAGTTGTTCTCAGAGATAACCCCCAAAGTGCCCTTTTTTAAGTAAGATTCGTGGTTTATAAGTTTTGGGTTCAAGTTTTAACTACAAGGTATGGAAAGTTACTTTGACATATGCTAGGGTATGGATTTAAGGTTTTGATGCAAGACTAGGAATAGACTACCTTCCAAAGGTTGATTTTTAGGTAAGAAGAATCATGCAATATATATGTGATTAGATGGTTAAAGATCTTTTGCTTTTGAAAAATTATAGTTACTAATTTGACTACTTTTTGTTTTTTTCTTGTTATATTATTTTTTTCTTGCAGATTGTGGAAGAAAGAGAATGTAGATGGTGTCGAGATGAAATACATTTTTTTTTTCTTAGAGTAGGAAGTGAATTGTTTTTTGTATTTTTTATTCCCTACTTTTTTTTTGCAGATGGATTGTTCTTTTCTCTTTGAATTTGTATCAATCAATATGAAACAATGGTTATCTTTCAAGAGATATGTGAATGAATGGTTTTAGATAGCAAATTAAATGTTTGTAAATAGGTTTATATAAGCTTTGTATATGATAAAACAGTTTTTCAAAACACAAATAAATGATCTTTAGAGGCAGTCACAAGTGCCTCTAAATAAGACCAAATAATACTTTAGTGGCAGTTTTAAGTGTTGCTATAAAGCTTAAATAGGATACTTAAAATTACTTTTAGAGGCAAATAAATTTGCCTCAAGTTTAATTAAAGTGCCCCTAAAAATGTATATTTGGTGGCATTCATACATGCCTCTGTAAAATGCTTTTAGCATCAATGTTTTAGAGGCAAGGTTATGTGCCTCAATATCTCGTTTTTGGAGGCACTAATCAGATGTGCCTCTAATTATAAGTCAAGTGGCTCTACAACATTTAGAGGCAATCACCTGAGTGCCTCTAATTCTTTTTAGAGGCATTTTTTATTGCCTCTGTAGGTGATTTTTCTAGTAGTGATCCCCTATTTAGTAAAGATAAATTTCTCTTTGGTGGATCTCATTAATACTATATCAAACTCATTGTATAAAAGACAAGGTGTCCACATAACACTTCCCTATCTACATAAAAAAAAGAAGAAGTAATTGATTAGTTAACAAGATCTCACCTCTACTGGTTCTGGTGATTCTGGTGATTGCTGTGGCTAAATAAAAGAATGGTACTCCATCATTAGACCACAAGAAGAAAGAGAATCAAACTATGACCAATTCAATCCATTCATATCCAACTTATAATCTGATTAATGAATTGATGAGAGTCAATAGCAATCAATAGCAGTACCTGATTTTTCCTTGCAACAAGGTGATTGCATTTTTGTAGAAGCTCATAAATTTTATTTTTCTTCTCCTGCACTGTGGAATCATTTTCAACATTATCAACACCTTCATTCTTATCGCTTTTGTTAGTGTTCTTTTCCGATCCTGAACCTTCCTCACAATCTCCTGTTCCCCTTTCACATTTCCAACCTTAATTAACCAGAAAAAGCTGTGAGAAAACCATTCAGGAATATTAAAAAAAAAATAAAAGATTTTTCTGTCAACTGAGCATTTATCAATTAGAATATATGTGTCTGTGTGAAAGTATGTATATAAAATGTGTCAAATGCTGCTTTTTCTTTTCCATTTTTTAGTTATTCAATTACATGGTTGGTATTATAAGAAGATTTGCATCACTTATTGTGTTACTCTAATGCATATGAACAGATACATTGGTTGGGCTTATTTCCAAAAACGATTTGTAAATGGTAATGGTGTTTATTATTCAAGTTGGGCTGGATTTGGTTGGGTCAGTCTTTGGCCCACCCATTTGTTAAATTACTGAGATCTATACTCACAGGCGCAACCATTCCTATTTGTTTTCTGATTTCTGAATTCTGATCATTTCACTGGGTTCACAAAACTTGAGATGTCAACAAGGCAAGAAATGTTCCATGGGGCAGAGAGTAGAAACGTTGTATAAATTTTAAGAAGCAGTACTCATTAACATATTATACCTCATACAACCATACAAGGTCACTCCATGGACAGATTTGTCTCCCAGTTCCATATGCATGAATCAGCCCACTAGGGACATTTGAATTGCATTTAGCACCCTCTGATCAATCAACACACAGCCTTCTTAATCACCTGAAATTCTACTAATATAGATTCAGATCCGTATTGGCAACGTTCTAGTCTGCTGGAAATACAACGGAGGATTAACCAGAGAGAGAAGGGGTGTTTGTTTTTTCGGTGTTGTTAAGGGTAAGGGGTCTTGACGTTTGCTTGTTGGGTCCATTAGTTGTGTTCTCCTTTCGGATGATATCTTATCATCTTCTGTTGTATCTCTTTTTCCTTTTTCATGAAATTTTCTCTTTACTCTTCAAGTAAGAAGAGAAGGTCCTACGATGGAGGGCTGTCTGATAGTGGGGCTTTCTTTCCAAAACATCAACCAGAAAAGAGGTGAAAGTGAAACTCTACAAGCAGAGCATCGTAACGGATGCTGGAGCTCTATCCAAATTCACTAACTTTTATTTTGTTTTTGATCAGTGTATCCCATCTACTACTAACATCCATCGACATCCGCCACAGTCATCATGGATTCGTTCCTCAAGCTAATCTGGAAACAAAGCAACCTTGTTTTAGGGACCGAGAGCATATACAGTCGCCTCGGGTACAAAATCCATCTCGAAATGTAGCTACTCATGCATAAGTGAATTTTCTGGATCAACCATTGAATAATCTCCCAAGGGATGTTCGAGGATTAGACGAAAGTGAGGAAAAATTTAAGTATTTTTGTCTAAAACCTATCAACCAAGATTCTAGTAAAGACCAGAGTTTGATCGAACAAACATCATCTTCAAGTCGGAAGAGAATACTTAAAAATAACAACCGAGTTTTTTGAGTAAATTCACCCAACTCAACATTAAAATCCCAAGAGAGAGATCAATTGCTCACCTGGGACGTTGAAGTTGAACTCCCAGTCTTTCATCGACGATCGGACGCCCAAAGCCGCGGATGATACTAAAATCGCATAGACAAGTCTTGAAGTCAAGAACGCAGACATCATTCTCCCTGGTGCTGATCGGACGCTTAGCTGAAGATAAGAACGAGAAATGCGAACAGGCGAGCAAATTCACACCAACCCAACAACAAAATTACAAAAGCACAAGAGAGAGAGAGAGAGAATGAGCTATGAGTGTGTGTGTATCTGTCTGTTAGACTTTTAGACAATCGAGGAAACCTTGGTCTACAGGCTCATTGATTCATCCATGAGTCAACTTTAATCGAAAAATAAAAGTTTCTTTTTCGAAAGTTTGATTGGACTGAGATGGACTACAGTAGACGAATATGAAGAGCAAAGACTCTAAGCAAAGTATCTCTACACTCTACTTTACAACTGCTACAGTGCTACTCTGCATGCTTAGAGGCGAAGGAAAATGCTAAGCAGGGTCGTCTTCACTCTTGTATGAGCAAAAGCCAAAAAGCGACGCTGACGTTGCTCATTCATTTTAAGGGAAATTACTTAAACCTCTCCCGAAGTTTTGATATTACTTAAACCTGTTTTGAATTTTGACCTCTCCAAAAATTGCCCCTCATGTTTGGGGGTAAATTATATTTACTTACCCCGTTAGTGTGACGTTAAAAACATAACAGAAATTGATGATGTCACGCTCTTTAAACTCCTCGCTAGTACTGACTGGGGTGGAGGTAACAATTCTATTAGAGGGAGGGCGTGTTAATCGTTTAGTTAATTGATTAAATGTAACTTTACTGTTTGAAAATTGACTGATGCTATCTTTATTGTTTTTAACAATTGTTCTATCGTTATTGTTAGCATATGTTAATATTTCCTCAAAATTCATACACACGTGATACCACGTGATACTACGTCATCGTTTAAAATTTTTTAAAACCCAATATTTTACCCTCGTCCCCTTCCTCCTCCGACCTCTCTCTATCTTTTCTTTATCTTCCTCCAATCATCTCCGTCAACATCAGATCGTCATTGGTTTCGAACTTTGCAAATCATGGCCCGGCTCTCTTCGTTCCAACAACGGAAGCCATTGATGCATAAGCAGTGCCACCGGAGAGATCGATGGCAGCAGAGTTCACGCCAATTTAGAACACGATTTGACCTGCATTCACACCAATCTCTTCCCTCTATCTTCTTCCAACCTGTCTCGTCAATACCAAATCAGTCAGTTTCCAAATCAACATTCTTGTCAAGATCAACCCTTTCGTCCCACTCCCTTAGTGGCAGCGATAACCCCCTCCAAAAGAACTAGAACAATAAGATTAGGAGGTCCATCTTGATTCTCTCAACAGCACTGACATTCTCTCAGCTCTAACTCATTTATAGCAACACTGATGGCCAATACCTCCACCATGTGTTTGTTGAATACCGCAAAAATTTCCTTCACCAAACCCCGTCGTACCATCTCCCGAGTGTACCTCGAAGAACGCTTCACCCCATTATTCAGATCAAGTAGCGTCAACGATCTTTTCTCCATCTCACAAATCAGCGATTCTCAACCAGTTCCAACAACAACAGAGCATGTTATTGCCAATCAAAAACGTTATAATTCACTCTTACATGCATCCTTTGGGGTTCCATTTTTTTATCATTTGCATTGATCTAGAGATCTTTGTTTTGGATCAGAGGCATTGAAACTCGGTGGCTTGTATTGCAGGGGAAGCTTCACGTCAAGAGAAACATCAATTCGCTCAGTGAAGAGGAAGTGGAGAGAAACCTCACAGGTGGATGTTGCGACGTGGTGTTTTTGAGGGATTTGAGTCGAGGGTCAAAATTTTGGCAAGAGATGCCCACGAAAATTAAAGGTAGACGTTTGATGGTTCGAGTAGTTCAGGGCCTAAATCTAGATCAATGGAACATCGGAATCAGAGTCGTGGAGCGCGAGAATAGAGAATCTCTCGAATGTAGAGAGTGGAATGGAAAAATGAAAATGAAAATGGAGCTGAGAGATGGGGCATCGTCCGCAGGTGGTCGCCGATGGGGTTATGGCATGGAGAGAGAGAGAGAGAGATGGAGCATCATCGGCAAGTATGCTTCCAACGACTAAGAGGACTGATGCCTGAAATCTCCGTCAAACTGTCGCTGGCCTTTAATCACTAAAGGGCTGATTCTTGTGCAAATTATAAAAACAGATCCAAAGAGTAAAATAGTCTTTTTATCATTTTGTTAATGGAATATTAAGAGATGTTAACATTAAGGGAAGTATTAGTCAATTGTCAGAAACAATAGGATAGCGTCAATCAATTTTCAAACACTAAGGATACACTTACTCAATTATCTAAACCATAAGGATAGTTTAAGAAATTTACCCTAAAAATTTCTACCCAAGAGGTAACAATAAAAACCCTATAAATTAATAAAAAGAAAAAGAAAATAATATAAAATAATTACAAAAATAATAGAAAATCACAAAGATAAAAGAAAAATAATAACCGAAATGTTCTCTAGAAGTTACACTAATAACAATTAACAAATAGTAAATAGAAAAATTAAAATAAAAAGTAACGGACTGAGAAGGGAAAGAAAAAATAGTGAATATTTATGTATGGTTAGATGTTTTTACTCTTTAATATTTAGTATTTAGTCTTACTCTTTATTGTTTACTCTTTCAATTTTTTAATCCTCAAGTTTTTTCTTTTTCTAGATTAATTCTTTTAATTTTGGCATTTTTCATGTTTTTTCTTTATCGTTTGAAATTCCAATTAGTTTTAGGGTTCACCCAAGTTGACCCATTGATCAACCTAGCCCATTTTGGGGTTAGGGTATAGCCTTTGATAGCCTACCCAAAATTTGAACCAATCCAAAATTGCCTATCACCAACATAAATGAGCACGAATATAAAACTGAGTACTGCCATTACCATAAATAAATAGAGAAGGATCATAAAGTGCTTTATGAAGCTTGCAAATGTGGTCAGGCTGAGAGGGATCTTGGAAAACCATGCAAAATGCATTAGTTATATCCAATTGATGAATTGACCATTTATGAGAAAGAGCAAGGGCCAGAATGGTACGAATAGTTTCCGGCTTGGTAGCAAGAATTTCTTGGAGATTGCAATATTGAATAGGAGCTGGTTCGGATGTGCCAGAATCAGAGAGAGTCGTAGGAGAATTAGGTTTGACAGGCGATGAAGAAACTGCATTATTATTAGAGGAACTATTGGTTACCTTACCAGAGAGGGAGAAGCAGCAGCATGTCCGAAATCCCAAAGCAGAATTGAAATAAAAGTCCTAGTGGCAAGGAAAGCTAACAAAGTTGAAGAAGGCGTAGAAATACTTGGAAATAAAGATTCATAAAATATGTGTTGTGCCACAAATAATTTACTAGAGGGCAAATGAAAACAATGATACCCTGGAGGACAACACTAAATTGATGATTGTTGTGTGGCCTAAGAAATAAATAGCAAGCACGTCTGAAGCACCTTAATAGTGAGTAATCTGGAGGATGCTAAAACAGTATCTCATAGGGAAAACAACCATTGAGAGTGGGAGTGGGAAGTCTGTTGATCAGATAAATTATTGTCTTAGATGCATTTACCCAAAAGGAAAATATGAGATTTGAAGAGGCCAGTAGAGATGAGAGGGTTGATTTTATTATGTGTCTGTGCTTCTGTTCCACTGTTTTATTCTGCTCGTGAGTGTTAGGGCAGATTATTCGATGAGTGATACCCTGTGAGTTTAAATATTGTGACAATTTTTAAAATTTTCTTCCCCAGTCAGATCGGAAGGATCAAATTTTGCTATTAAACAACATATGATGTAATAGGGATTGGGCCTAGGAGTGCTCATAAAAGTTTTGAAATAATCCATGAAAATTTGTTACCAACAACATATGATTTTTGAGTCATAGGATAAATCCATGAAAATTATGAATAATCATAAAAAAATAAAACATAATAACAAAGTCCACTATTGGATTTAATAGGGGCTGGCCCTAGGGGTAACCATAAATAATCAAAATGCAGTTAACTGAATCGATCGGTTTGGCATTTTTGAAAAACCAAAGGACCGGCTTGGTTTTAGGTTAACTTAGAAAAAAACTAGTAGTTAATTGAACTGATTGGTATATGTATTTATATGTATATTATATATACTTTAATATATCTCACATATTATCTATACATTATATATAATTATATATGTATTATATATAAATGTATACATATATTATATTTATAATATAATATACATATTTATAATATATTATATGTTATTTATTACTTATAATATAATATTTTATATATTTTTATTTGTAATATATGTTATAAATATAAGAAATCGAAAAATCAAAGAGTCAAACCAATCAAGTTGTTAACCAGTGGAACTAGTTTGGTTTGTGTATATGGAAAAATTGGTAGGACCGGTTCGGTTTCAAAAAAACCCTATGGTTCAGTTAACCAAACTGTGAGCACCCCTAGCTAGTCCCCAGACATCTGAAAAAATTAATTCTAATTGATGCTTGGATGGAAAAGAAGACAATTGCAACAACCTAACTCTTACCCATTTGGTAGGACTCACAAATTGAACTACTAGACCCAACTTAACTACAAGGAAGACCATATTCAGAAATAACTGGCCTCACAGTCTAGAGTGCTGCATATTCTAATCGCAAATGTCAACCTTGAATTGTTGTTGGCTCACCAATCAATGCTTAAGGAGATGAATCTGAGATAATGACAGAAGATAGGTGTCAGCACCCGATTTTTGCTCAGTCCACTGCCTAAATCTCCAATTTACCTCAAATGCTTGATCAGATCCCTCCAATCTCTCTAAAACACCCAAAAACCCAAGAAACCCAACTTTCATCCCAAAAGCCTTCAAATCCACCATTAAATCTGTCCTATACCAATCTAATGGCCCTGATCAACCACTGTCTGTGCTTCGACCCTCAGATTAGACGTTACCATTAGATCCCAAATATCCTAAAATACCCCCCCCAAGAAAATTTCAATTCAATATTCTATCATCTGGTAGTCATCCATTGGCACTACGGTCACATCTATGGCACCCTTTCAGCTCCTTAGCTGTCACCCCTTGAGCAACGCCCTCAATCTCACGTGCTTATGCCTTGATCATGCCCATGCTCTTTGTGATCTTTAAGCCCAAGCACTTTGCCTCCCTAGTTGAGACAAAGTTGTGAGTTGTCCTTGTGTTGATCATGGCTTGGATCTTCTAACCATTGATCAACGCCACCATGTACATCAGCCTTGACCTAGTCGTGCTCTTGGTTGCCTTCTTAGCTGGCCCCTCCAGCTTTTAAACACTACAAAGTAATTGCACTAACCCGATCTTGGCATCCTCATGGCCATCTTCCTACAGCTCCATTTGTGCCACTAGTCCACTAAGTGTCCTACACTGTGGACAGTTACGAACATAGTGCTCCCCTTCACAAATGAAGCAACT